AATGTTGCATATACTAGTGTTTGATGTGTGGTATATTAACTAGTGTTTTATGTGGGATGTATTAACTGGTGTTTGATGTTGTATATACTAGTGTTTGATGTGGGATGTATAAACTGATGTTTAATGTTGTATATACTAGTATTTGATGTGGGATGTATAAACTGGTGTTTGATGTTGTATATACTAGTGTTTAATGTTGTATATACTAGTGTTTGATGTGGGATGTATAAACTGATGTTTAATGTTGCATATACTAGTGTTTGATGTGTGGTATATTAACTAGTGTTTTATGTGGGATGTATTAACTGGTGTTTGATGTTGTATATACTAGTGTTTGATGTGGGATGTACAAACTGATGTTTAAAGTTGCATATACTAGTGTTTGATGTGTGGTATATTAACTACTGTTTAATGTTGTATATACTAGTGTTTGATGTGTGGTATATTAACTAGTGTTTAATGTTGTATATACTAGTATTTGATGTGTGGTATATTAACTAGTGTTTAATGTTGTATATACTAGTGTTTGATGTGGGATGTATAAACTGGTGTTTGATGTTGTATATACTAGTATTTGATGTGGGATGTATAAACTGGTGTTTGATGTTGTATATACTAGTGTTTGATGTGGGATGTATATGTTTAACTTGCATATACTAGTGTTTGTGGTATATTAACTAGTGTTTTATGTGGGATGTATAAACTAGTGTTTGATGTTTAATGTTGTATATACTAGTATATTTGATGTGTGGTATATAAACTGATGTTTAATGTTGTATATACTAGTGTTTGATGTGAGATGTATAAACTGGTGTTTTATGTTGTATAGTCTAGTGTTTGAAGTGGGATGTAAATATTGAATTTAGACATGTGATCAGAAACACATCACATTGGACCAAGAGATCTGATTTTAATGAGACTGGGTGTTGTACAAAAATGTAATTATTCATGTATGATACCTATCAAAGCCTGAACACAAAAGTAAAAGTTATGGTAGAATGTGGGTGGACATATATACATAACTGAATGTCCATATCAATCCTATATCCGGGGTAATAATGAACTGTGACTTGTATGCGTTTACAGCGTGTCCCTCAGTGATGTGGATGAGGCGCTATAAAAGTACTCTTATTATTATTATTATTATTATTATTATCTGAACAAACTTGTTATTATGACCTTATGAGTTTCCTACTGATTACATTCAACAACTGACATGACAAGACCAGATCATGACGATAGCATGACAGGTGCTATCTGACCGTTGGACGGGACCGTCGTTACGTCAGTTTACAGCACACACAACAGACGTCCATAGAGTCGGATCATATGATACACTCGGGCACATTGGGCCACATTGTGTAACAGGTGGCTAGAGACCAATAATAAGCTAGATTTACCACATGGAGTTCATTAAGTAAAACCATTGTGTGTAAATGTTTGCAAATAACCAGCATACATAACTGACAAGAAATTTTATGAGTTTGACTAATGGACATTAATTAATTGCCTTTATAATTGCAGAGTAATAATTCTAACATACAATATTACATGACAGCAAGAGTCACGGAACGCTGCACCAGTTGATGAGGATACTGGTTGTATTTCCACAAATAAATACTATGTTACAACTGAATCATGGCCATGTTCCACAAGCAGTCTTAGTCCAAGGAGGGTTGTAACTCCTAACCGTAGTGCTAAGATGGTACTGTATAAATAGGCCCAGGCCCCTCTTCCACAAGCAGTCTTAGTCCAAGGAGGTTTGTAACTCCCATTCCTTATCACTAACTTAAGACAGTTATAGCGCTAAGACCACATTGTAGAACAGCGCCAAGGGAGGAAAGGGATCTTAGCACTAATATGATCATCAGTGCCAGGCGCGTAGCAAGCCAATTATTTCGTGTAAGCCTGATAGGTTGCAAAGCTTTACATTTAGACAGTATTGAGGGCTTGCCCACCCTTTTTAACAACAATCATGTGTAAGCCCGGCCTTTTTTTTAATAATGGTAGCTACGCCCTTGAGTGCCATCAAGTCATAGTGCTGTCATCATGTGGGCCAAGGACCACAAAGTGATCCCACTGCTAAGATGATTGATTGCTTCAACAACAAAGAAGTATGCCTTGTTTAGAATCTGACATTCTTGTACTGTTCAAAATACTACTTAAATTTGTTAAATTATTTCACTTCCGTAGCAATGTGAACAGATGTGAGTGTGAGGGTGTTTGTAAAAATCTCAGCTAATGCTGGTTTTACAGCACTTTATTACCGAGATGCCATGCAGCAGTCTTACAATTGGGTGAGTGAGTGAGTTTAGTTTTACACTGCTTTTAGCAATATTCCAGCAATATCATGGTGGGGGACACCAGAAATGAGCTTCACACATTGTACCCATGTGGGGAATCGAACCTGAGTCTTCGACGTGACGAGTGAACGCTTTAACCACTAGGCTACCCCAGCAGTCTCACACTGATACCCCTTACACAGTATACAGATCAGTCCTTATTCTATCCTCTTATGATGAGCAAAGGCTGGGTTGCAATAAGTACAATCTCCTAATGTCTAGAGATATGAAGTGGGCGGGGATCACGTGAAGGAATATCGCAATGCTATCCTCATGCTGTTCTACAGACTTTCAGGAACAATACGAAAGGTATAACAAGAAATGGGGGAAAATATGGTAAGACTACAGAATACCATATACCAGGGCTACAGATAAGGGGCGTACAGGCATAAGGTACGCATCAAAATCAATTAAGTACGACATAATATAAGATTTCAAGCGTATCGTGTACGCACATAAATACCTTTGTAAGTCTAACATTTAATTTCCGTGCATATCGTGCAAATGGAAATCTATTTTGGATAAATACTTGTCAAGTTTCTTTTGTGAAACACGATTTGACACATGAGGAAACCCCGACAGTAGGAATCACATGCGTTGCCATGCAACGATATGCGTCACTATTTTTCAATTGGCTAAAAACTACACTGTTCCTATTTATATCCAGTCAGACCTGACATTTCGTGCATCACACGGTCGCTCAGTTATTTCTCACGCGTCTTCAAATACAAATACATGGTTGGAAATAGTGATCGATGAATCGTCCAGACAAACCACATCAACTCACTCACACAAAAACATGTCAGTACTCCTTCAAAGTTCTCAGTACACCTCCACTTGCAATATGATGTGTAAGTACACTCGCACCCCCAAAAGTTATCTGGAGCCCTGATATACCTTCTGCTATCTTTGAAAGCATGCGGGTGCGGGTGCGGGTGCGGGTTAGGGTTAGGGTTAGGGTTAGGGTTAGGGTTAGGGTTAGGGTTAGGGTGACATGACACTAAACAATATGGCTGGTAGGTATCCGGTATTCTGTAGGTGTACCGAAAATACAATCATTCTCAGGATTGACTTACTGACCAGCTCTAGAAAGAAAAGTGAAAACAAAAAGCAAATTGTATGAAGAATCCATTCCCTATGATCGAGCTGTATGCTTCCTTTATCCGTACAATCAAACCAATCACCCAAGGATCGGCCTATTCCTCATCCATCCTAATGACAGCACCACACAACTGCATTGTGACTCTGGGACAGATCAAAGTCTGGCTGTGAATCATTAAACTTACAACTGGCAGTGAAAATACTTTTCAAAGAACAATGTATCAAGTACCATGTACCAGGGATTATTTACATCATCAATATAAACAAACACAACAAGCAAATCAGCTGGCAAACTCAAAAAGTAAATGTACTGAATATATTGTTAAAATGATGTTAGTGACATAAACACGCTGATATCTAATTTACTAATACTTCTAAGGGAAACAAATTTGACATACAGATAAAATTACTCCATGAGGATCTTATTCGGGTGAGCTTGTATTCGGTTTAGGTTTATGTTTTTCTTAAAGTCTTCTATCTTGGTGTCCGAGGTAAAATGATTTTGTATGGACTGATGATAATGATAACATTCTACCACTTCAAGAAATCAGATACATTCACAAATGCCACTACAAACTGGAGTTTGGGCACCCTCACATATATCAAACCATGTCCATTATTTGACTTGAAGCATGTCATAATGCCATAGTCCCATATGTCCCAGGATGTCGGCACACTTGTTCAACCCTAAAGCAAGTTGCCCTGCTGATTCAACCCCCATGTCCACTGAGACAGCCAGTCTCATTAAATCCCCCTGTAACCCAAACATGGGGGATATGGAGGTGTGCCCTAGATGCTTGCCACAATCATTCACTTGATGTGCACACTCATTGAGGCCATCAGTCTCATTCAACCCTGATGTACCCCACGAAGGCCATCAGTCTCATTCAACCCTGATGCACCCCACGAAGGCCATCAGTCTCATTCAACCCTGATGCACCCCACGAAGGCCATCAGTCTCATTCAACCCTGATGCAGACCACATAGGCCCATCAGTCTAATTCAACCCTGATGTAGACCACACGAGGGCCATCAGTCTCATTCAACCCTGCATGTCAGTCTCACAACCCTGATGCAGACCACATAGGCCCATCAGTCTAATTCCACAATGATGCAGCCCACGAAGGCCATCAGTCTCATTCAACCCCAATGTAGACCACATAGGCCCATCAGTCTCATTCAACCCTGATGTAGACCACATAGGCCCATCAGTCTCATTCAACCCCAATGTAGACCACATAGGCCCATCAGTCTCATTCAACCCCAATGTAGACCACATAGGCCCATCAGTCTCATTCAACCCCAATGTAGACCACATAGGCCCATCAGTCTCATTCAACCCCAATGTAGACCCATCATAGGTAGACCACATAGGCCCAACAGTCTCATTCAACCCCAATGTAGACGACATAGGCCCATCAGTCTCATTCAACCCTAATGTAGACCACATAGGCCCATCAGTCTCATTCAACCCCAATGTAGATCACATAGGCCCATCAGTCTCATTCAACCCCAATGTAGATCACATAGGCCCATCAGTCTCATTCAATTCCGATGTAGACGACATAGGCCCATCAGTCTCATTCAACCCCAATGTAGACCACATAGGCCCATCATTCTCATTCAACCCCAATGTAGATCACATAGGCCCATCAGTCTCATTCAACCCTAATGTAGACCACATAGGCCCATCAGTCTCATTCAACCCCAATGTAGACCACATAGGCCCATCAGTCTCATTCAACCCCAATGTAGACCACATAGGCCAATCAGTCTCATTCAACCCCAATGTAGACCACATAGGCCAATCAGTCTCATTCAACCCTGATGTACTCCATGGCGTCCATCACTCTATATGCTGATGTTCCTGCCACAGCACCCTCACCCTGTTGATGGACTGCTGGCCGTAATGACTGTTGACGAAGATGTAGCTGCTGCAGACGAGGACAAACACCCAGGCCATCCACAGCAGATAGTCGGGATCCTCTGTGGGTACACTGGGTAGAGGGCCCTGGAAGTCCTGGTCTGTCACATTCACAGTCGTGTTGGGCTCCAGCCCTGCAATACATCACATATACTTAGACACAGTCAGCTTGTGGTGACAAGCTATGGAGACAGTTTTCAAAGAACATCAAGGGACAGGTTCATGGAGAAGGTTTTCAAACAACATCATGGGATATCATTCATTATTTGAATCTATCTCTACATGTCCGCTGAAAGTTAAAGTAAAGCACAAAGACGTGCAGGGAGTGGACATGTCCACATGGATAAAACCCATGATGCCCCCAGACCAAACATCATCATCTTGAACTCCAACAACCATCAATTCCTCACTCACAAAAGGGACATTACTCTGCACATGGAATACACCCATGATTTTCATAAAATCAAACGCAAGATATTCCTAAAATCAAAATCAGTGGATTTTGTCCTTGAAAATTCGAGTAACTCTGCCAAAATCAAAGTGGTTGGCATCTCTGCTTATCCTGTACAAAACAACATTACACAAGGTAACATACATAATGAGTTAACTTCATGTTCATGCATATGTTGATAAACATTTAAAAGTATAAGCTGATTGATAATGTTAACATGGGTTATGGACCATAAATCATTACCAAAATACAACAGCATTAGAAAATATATGCCTGATGTCTGAAGGAACATACCTGTGACATTTTTAATGAACTGGATGAATGAATTGAACACTCTCTCTGTGTGGTTGAATCTGACAGCAGATCGGGACTGGTGGAAGAGCATCACATTAGGGACAGCTACTGTGCCGAACCTGGCATTTAGGCTGAAGTGGAAGTTGTATCGGTTATCACATATCAGCACTGTGGGTGAGTGAGTGAGTGAGTTTAGTTTTTACGGCGCACTCAGCAATACTAGTATTCCAGCTATATGGCAGTGGTCTGTAAATAATCGAGTCTGGACCAGACAATCCTGTTATCAACAGCATGAGAATCAATCTGCGCAAATTGGGAACCAATGACATGTGTCAACCAAGTCTGCGAGTCTGACCACCAAATCCCGTTAGTTGCCTCTTACGACAAGCATAGTGGCCTTTTGTAGCAAGCATGGCTTGCTGAAGACCTATTCTACCCCGGATCTCCACGGGTCCAGCACTGTGGAAAGATTAATATGTACACAATAAGAATGCTGTGATCGGCTATTCATGTTGTTGAGGGTCATTGAATTTACTTTTGTTGCTGACTGCTGCACCCCATAACATTCCTGTTGTATAACAACATCAGGCAAGAACAATTTTATTTCTTGTTTTACAGATTTTTGTCCTCAGAAAACCTTAAGGCAGGAGAGAGAAAAAATAAAAATGACCAGACAAAGTAATATTCCTTTTAAATACTAAAGTATTTTATTTTTGGCAATTTATGAAGTGTATATGGGGCAAAAAACAATCCCAAAATTTTGTTGTTGTAAGTTTACATTTTTGGCCAATAAAAACATGAAGATTTTATTTATTGTGCGGGGGAAAATCATTTATATGTTTTTTCTTATTCTTGAAACAAATACGACTGGCAGATCTGTAAAACAAGAAATAAAATTGGTCTGGCCTAACAAAGATTTCTGAAGAGTCAGACTTTGTTATTGTTTTGGGGCATGTTTAACAATGCACAATGCAGTTTTTGATTGTTGTTTCATGCCGCACTCAGCAATATTCCAGCTATATGATGTTGGTCTGTAAATAATGAAGTCTGGATCAGACAATCCAGTGACTGACACCATGAGCATCAATCTGCACAATTGGGATTTGATGACATGATGATGATTAGACATGCATGATATGATGATTAGACATGCATCAACCAAGTCACCAAGCATGACCATCTGATCCCACTAGTTACCTCTTAATATTCTTAAGGGAAGCGTGGACTCCTGAAGATCAATTCTAACTCAGATCTTCACTGGTATCACTCCTTTCAACATGATTAAATAAAGATTCTACAGATATGACAGTCAGTTTGGTAAGAAACTAACAAAGAATATTCTGAGAATAATAATAGTAAACAAAGTGATTTAGACAGTTACTTCTCGAAACACTCTTAATAAAAGTTACAGGGGAAACAACTGAAGTTGCTTCATGTATCACAAGAACCAAAGTAAACAAAACAAAGGAACTGGAAAATGTTGATAAATAAATGACTCAGAAGATGACAAAGGATGACAGTTTTAAATAAATGGATCAATCAGAACTATCAAACTATACAGGTAAGAATTGGAATAAATATAAGAAGAGTGAGTTTGGTTTTACTCCGCTTTTAGCAATATTTCACTTTCAGCAGTATCATGACGGGGACACCTGAAATGGGCTTCACACATTGGACCCATGTGGGAAATCGAACCCGGGTCTTCAGTGAAATATAAGAAGAGGAAGTACAAAGAATGCACATCAGAAATATAATGCAGCTGTGTGAAGAAGGAGAAAAACAAAACATAAGCATCTTTAACAAATATTGAAATAGGACCTACTTGCTAAAGTGAACTGCATCTACAGCTAAGACCTCTAGTTGTGGATAGGCTCTTGCCAATGCGTTGTAGTGCGGAGCTGTCTTAGCACAAAACTGACACCAGGGGGCATAAAACATGACAAGAACACAGTCACCAGTAGTCCGATTCTTGTCAAAACTGAGCACTTCCAGTAACGTGGTACTGTTCACAAGTCGCACTTCAAGTGTGGTGTTCTCGGTTATGTTCCTCCCAATGCACTGGAACTTGTACTTTTTACTGCCATCCGTTTCATTCTTGGCAGTGCTGTTATCACTGACAGTTACATTGGCAGTTTCTGCTGTGATGTTTGGAGTGACTGTTTCAATAACCACAGGCTCGGGTACCTTCTCTGTCTCCTGCTCCTCCTCACTTCCCACTTGGAACTCTCCGATGACTGGATTGAGAAGTGTTTTGATTACACTTGTTAAAGAAAAAAGTTTGCTTTCTCCATCTTCACTTGTTGAATCATCATCATCGATTGATTCATCAGTTTGTGTCTTTGCTTCTGATTGGCTATTATCATTAGCACCTGTACTATCTTTTACATCTTCTTTTTGAGGAACTATTGAATCAAATACACTTTCCAGCCTTACTGCTCCCTTTATCAGAGAGATCTTCAATGTCTTTCTTTTCAGTGTTTGTACTGTCTGTTAAGTCTTCTGTTTGTGATTTCACTGCATTCAAACACACTAACACTGCAACAAAAAATGGAAAAGGTGTGAAGTAATATTTGTGCTGAGATATCTGTGATGGCATATAAGGTAAACTAGTGTGGACTGTGACATGAATGGACCTGTAGCCAAGGTAACAGTCTTTGGAACTGGTCACTTAAAATAACTATAAGGGGGCATTGAGGTTGAGAAGAAAAAAGGAGATGGGGAATATTTATCACAAGAATGGCTTGGCATGAACATAATACACAAAATTTTCTCAGTTTCATTTATTTTGTTTTAAATTCTTATCACTTGAACATTTTTTAGTCATTTATTAAAGGGGGTCACAGGAAAAATGTTTGTTGGGCATGACGAAATATGACACAGTTTCAGCTTTTTCTGAAACAGAAAATCCCAAAACATAGAGACAAGCAAATAGTGGAAACACATCAGATTTGTTAGTTGTCAAATAATACCCCTGATGCTTTTAGTTTGGAACTGATTCGCCAAGTAATCATATCATGATAATAACCTGGATTCTTATAGTTTGAGGCCTACGTTTCACAATTAATTTAAAGAAAAAGATTCTTGTATTTTTGTGAGTCAGTGTTCTCAAAATACTTCACCAGTAACTTCTTCTTACTTGCCTTACATGGCATTCAATCAAACAACAGCAGAAGCTGCCATAAGACATCATGTTTATAACACTGGGTGTGCACCACTCACCATGGAAGTTGGGATATAATACATAACAGGTGGGAATTTATGAATGCAACTTCTTCATTATGAGGAAGAAACAGTCAATTTACAGCTAATGTCACCATTAAAAAAAACGAAAACAAATTTCCTCAGGATCAGATTCAGTAAACTGTCTGAACCTCGGTTCCATTCCTGTGGGTCTCGCATTTACAATCTATCTGCCCTTGATCCTTACTTATTACACATAATATAGTGTAAGCTAAACTGGAGAGTACAGCTATAAGTGTGAATCCACACAAAGGTTATGACACACTAACTAATGAGGAACTAGTTATAGTTATATTCTAGCTGTATGAAGGGGCCTGATAAAACTATCCAGTGATTGACATTGTGAGAAATGATGAAACAATCAAATATGGGATCTGACCGTGAATCCACTAACACTATCATGGCAAACACAATGTGGTTCATCAGAAAGTAATGAAAAGAGGTCCACCAGAGTGATTATTCTTGCCTTAACAATGACATTACATGTGAAATTTGGGTTATTTAACCATATATGACTATTGACGCTTTTTGCCAAAGGTGATGTTTGTTTTTCATGTTTTTCATATGCAGTATTTGTCAAGTGTTATCCTCAAGTGTCTTTATCATGTTTACAGCTACAAATTACAATTACCCGCTCACAGTTTAGTATGGACTGCCGAAAGCTACTTTTAGCGCTCATGATGAATGTGCTTGTATCTCTAACCAAAGTTACACTAAATATTAACCGCATATTGTGTTTCTCGAAGCGACTTTGTTGTTTTCACCTATCATACCATATTCCAGGTCTACAGCACGAAATTGGGTAACTCTGCAACATTAACGCGACATATGACAATAATTATGATATTAAAAGTGTGTTTGTATTTGCGTGCCACTATTCACACCCTTTACAAGACACTGCCATCATTAGAAGAAGTCTGTTTTGAAAACTGACCTAAAACAACACCGCAAATGTATTTTCTCGACATGACAGCAGACATCAACATGGGCGCCGCCATTTTGAATATATTGTGTACACATGCTACTTTCAGAACAACGTATTCTAAGAGATTCTTTTCAAGATGAAACTACACTTGCAATCTCTAATTTTTCTCTGGTATTTTCCTTTCGAATTATGTTTGATTTCACATAGATTCCCACTATCTCAGAAACTTTGTTTTGTTTGAAAAACCGCGTATCGTGTTTGGTCATAATTTAACATCTAAACAGGCAGTTATAATGAGATATCTATATTTTGTTTGATGTACTCGGACTGCGTGAAGACAAGACCGCATGTACTTCTATAGTATAGGCCAGAATATTTAAAAAGAAAACTGACGAGTCAAGTAGCTCGACACCAGAACATGCATACATGCCGAAACATTAAAAGGGTAAATGTAAGTAAAAATGGAAAAAGGTCATTAACTTTTGAGATCAACATCAAATCATACTTCCAAATGCAAATATCTTTAAACACTCGTCCGCATTTTTCACCATGCATTTAACATTTCTAGGACATTAATATATCTGCTTTATTTGGTTTATTTTCTACCGCAGCCTGAAGCTTCATTTGTTCACAAGACTATCATATTAAACAATACCATCGAACTATAAACGTATAACATATACAGTATATAAATATATGTTGTTCAATATGTAACTTTGATTAATCATGAGAAAGAGTTTGATAATTTAATCGCGTAGGTAAAATATATGCTTAGAAATTGTGGGAAGGGGGATCATTGATTTTGTACATGACATGCAAGGGGTGGGGTGGGGTGTCACTTATTTTGTACATAAATTTTAGGGGAGTCATTCACATTGTACATGCTTCTCCATAAAATCACCCCACCCCCACCCCAAGCCATAAATTATGAACGGTCCTTAATGCAATTACTGTAATTAACATTATCCAGTTTTACGTATACCATGCAGTGAGTGCTGGCGCGTGCTACGGCCGGCATGAGACACATGGTAAACTTTGGGCTTAGAACTATTCGTTGCCCGAAGACTGTTGGTGTCTTCCCTGGCCTTAAGTTGAAATACGCATTAAAGATTATGATGTTACCTTGCCTGTTGCGTGTGCGTGTGCGTGTGCGTGTGCGTGGGCGGCTTAACGTGTAATTGTAGTGTTGTGTAACCTATATGGTATTGATTTCGGAAAGTGGCTACGCAGAGTAACGTCCCTTGTACGGCACCCTTTCCAATCTGAAATTATCCTGTGATAACGGCTTTAATTTGCCATGAAATAGATCCACTGTATCATATTTTCTTGGTCCAGTGAAACAGCATCTTGACCATAACAATCATGACATGGACCCATTTTGGCAATCGTGATCACTGTACCTAAAGCAACTGCATATGTAACGATTTATGCTATTTATAGATGGGGATTTCCATGTTCCTTCCAGGCCTGCACACAACTACCGGCAAGTGCAAGTGCTCGTACTTAGTGTCAGGCGATATCAAAGTTCAAGTGATGCAACATCAGGTGAGCGACAAGCCCGTAATGTGGGTGTGTCTTACTATACAGCCTACTACGTATTATCCTCGTACAGCCGGACAATAAATATAGCCTTTCTCTAAGGATGTACTGAATGATAAATCCACGGATAAATACTTACCCTTGTTGTCCTTAAATCGGCGACTTTAGATAAGACGGCAATACATAAAGGACACTATTTCTTATGTGTAAATAGAGTCAATTTGATGTTATTATTTGTGAAATCTGGAAATAGATATTGGAACTAGTAATACGTTCCTTGTTGTGCAAGTCTATATGGCTGGACTGGTTATCAGATGTAACATTCGATTTTCAGGACTGGTTCTGTACTTTGGTATATGCTTTGGAAGATCTATTTTCGCAAATACAGCAAAAAGTAACTATCAGTTACACATTTTCATGTTTGTAAAATTTGTTACATAAATATAGTTGTGACATATGTTTCTACGTCAGTTTATCTATTACGTTCCCTTACCCATAGGCCTATTAGTACAGAGTATCAACAGATTAAGTAGTAAAAGAGCGTTGACCACCGACTTTGTTTTTCATTTTAATCGAATTATTTATATAAGTATTTTATAAAGTGGAACCTCCTTAATTCGAAATTCACCATTGCGATATATACTTGTACATGTACTTGGAATTATGTAAAATAATGGGAGTGAGTGAGTGAATGAGTTTAGTTTAACGCCTCACTCAGCAATATTCCGGATGCGTGAACTAGTATTTATATACGGGCCCTACCGGATGGTGACACTTGGTTTCAGTTTAGTCCTGCGCCTTATACGACAGCAATGTGACGTTAAGGCCTCGGCTGAATTGTAACCGACACAATGGTGCAATATCGAAACTTAATTATGTCGAAGCATGGTCGACTGGAAGCAATTAAGAACACCACGTAAATTATATTTTTAATGTTTCGCGTCGTTGTTTGTTGTTGGACTCATACCAGAAGCTATAGCTGCCTCAAGTGACAGACGTTGCTGGGCCGTCAGTAGACTCTCACGACTAGTGGGTTCACAGACCCAGCCTGGCGTGCTTGTTTTCAAGGAAGATAAATAGCGTAGTGATGTAAAAAGTAGGTCTTCTTGACTTCAGTAGGTCAGTTGTCGAACTTGCTTACTGTACATAGGTCAAGTCTATACAGGTGTTCCCATAGCAGGGAAAATGCATTGAGTGTTGGAAGAATTTTGGAAGAGTGAATGGACACGGACTGGGGTTAGCCTTGTGGTTGATTTATGATTTAAACATATTTTATGCACAAATGCGAAAGGGATTGGGGACAAGTTATCCAACTTAATATACCCGCTCCCTAATATTTACATACATACAATTTCAATTATATACATATCTTAGGAAAGAATACAGAGAAGAGATTGGAAAGATAAAAGAGAGAAGAGAGGAAGGGAAACAACTTATGTGATCAGTCAAGACGTTTTGATTGATGAATAAGAGTTTGCACACATTTGAAAATGCATTCATTCTGTTGAATAGTCAGGTCAGGACTTCCAAGTAACATCAGTGACAATGTGATTGGAGAGTCACGTTTTACAATATTTATTTTAAATATTTAACATTAATATCTCTCTCTGAATGCTGGACAGTTTACATTCTAATAGGAAGTGATGTACAAATTTCACAAGCATTGCCACAGTAACAAGAAGCAGAATGTTTCACGTTGAAACGATACAGATCATAATTTAAACACCGGGGTTCTAGTCCCAGCAATGGTACAATCGTTGAAGCACATTTCTTATTGATTGATTATACAAAAAATATGCTGAAGGCGGGTTAAACGTCACTAGCTAACGTTCTGACATATTAGTGTACCATTCGTAACTGCTCGTGTCATTCCGGCAATCCGTCTTCTTGTAGGTCACGGAAAGAGGCGAGTAGTTACCAATGATTAGTGTATCCAATTTACGAACTAGCAGGCGGTCGAAGGGAGACTACTCTCACCCGCATGGAGGTCAAGGTCGTTATGGTGCTATGGCCATACTTCATTATTTGTTGATCAATACGTTTCCTTAATTCAACAAAATCGATACAAAGGTGAGTTTTCAAGAATAAATACAGTCAAAGAATCTTAACATACATCCTGACAGGCCATATTTTATATTACGTTTTACCTGTACATGTCCCGCCACTTAAACTTTCGTGCTAAACCAGCAGTATATTTGAGCATTTAACTGAAACCTCCTCTGTTTTCATTCTCGGGCTCCATTTAGAGATCAGTCACCATTCTTGACGCTGTCAATATTACGTACTACATGTATTAGCTTTTTCCTTACAATTATCCGAAATCATTGAAATGTTCTGGCAGTGGGGTATAGCCTAGTGGTTAAAGCATTCGCTCTTCACGCAGAAGACCCGTTCGGGTTCGCTCTTCCACGTGGGTCCAGTGTTTCCCCCTCCTCCTCCTCCCTCTACCACGTTTACATTGCTGCGGCTTAAAACCCAACCCAGTCACTCGTTGAACTGGCGAGGTTTTTTGTCACTAGCTGTTACACATAACCCGGTATCGCATTTTCTTCATCCTATTTAGTGACCCGGGGTCATTGTCCGGGACAGTGCGTTCGTCCGTCCGTTCCCACTGATAACAACACTGACTCTAGTCAACGGACACTCCCTCCAGAGAAACCAATGTCCGAGGTTAGGTTTCAGTGTCATTTTCATCATGATGTCTATCTTTCAGTGTCCAGTGTCCTGTGTTCAGTCTTAAATTCTTTCATCTGTGGGTCAATCACCCCAACAATAACACCCGAGTAAGGGTGGTCAGTCAGGGGACATGAAACGATGATATCAGGGTATACAATTCCCCCAAATGTCAGCCAGAAAACTTCGCAACTTATCAGGCAAGATAAAATGTTGACAGTCCAGACTTTTCTTGACTAACGAACTAAGTAACAAAAGCGGACCAAAGAGAAAGAAATGCCCAGCGTTAGTTAATTCTCAGAAAAGAACAGCACATTGGTTGATTGTCAACCATCGAAATTTTAATGTTAATTTTAATTTTGATTTTTCCATGTTTGAATCCTCACATCCATGGTCTGATTCAAGTGCGGAGTCTTGCTTTCCTGGAGTAAGCATTTTCGCCTCATCCTGTTGCACCTCACTTTATGATAAATCCCAGCATTTGGCCAATAGGAAATGACGACAGAAAGAACCACGCTGAAGCTACTGACAAAACTGCTTAATGTGCGGCATGGTATCTCAGTGAGCTAGCACTATTAAACCAGCTTAAGTCTGGGCTAGTACAAGAAGCCACACATACACACTCATGCACGTGGTCATGTGAGAGGAATATACGACGTTAAACCCTATTTCACCTCACTATGATAAATATTTGTTCAGTTTGTTTGTTTGTTTGTTGCTTAATGTCGTCCTCAGCAATAGTCCAGATTGTTACCGCAGACTGCAAATGTGGACCAGACAATCTAGTGACTGACTTCATGAGTATCGATCTACGCAATTGGGATACATTGACATGCATCAGTGAGCCGACCATCCGATCCCGTTATCATCTGACAATAGGCATGTCTGTCTGAAGACCAATTCCAACCCGGAATTGATAAACGTATTAAAGATATTTGTTTTTGTACCGAAACGCTGCATTGAAAGATTTAAAAAGTTCAAATCAGTGAGTCAGCCTAGTCTTGATACTCATGTTTCTATAATACAATCGATTCCCGACATCGGTACAGTGTGTGAAGACCATTTCTGGTGTCCCCCGCCGTGATATTGCTGGAATATTGCCAAAAGCGGCGTAAACCCATACTCATTCACTCACTCTACAGTACAAATAGAAGATGTAGCGTGACATCATCAGAATGTACAGTTATAACGAACCAAAGGTACCTATGATTTTAGTTCGTTATAACCGTAGTTTATAAGCGGCAAGTGAACTGGACAAAAATAGTTAACTTTGTTTTAACCCTGTTCGTTATAACCATATTTTTCTGTATCTGCCTCTTTAAGATACAGAGAGTTTCAACCTGTGAAGATTCGGATCAGATTTAGTCTTCAGCAACCCGTGCTGGTCGTAAGAAGCGACTAACGGGATCGGGTGGTTGGGCTCACTAACTTGGTCGGCACATGTCATCGTATCCCATTTCCGTAGATATATGCTCATGCTGTTGAGCACTGGCTTGTCTGGTCCAGACTCGAATATTTACAGACTGCAGCCATATAGCTGGAATATTGCTGTGTGGCGTAAACGCTAACCAACCACCCAACAGACAGTTTCACGGATATGTTACAACTCCGATTGTCAATATAATTGATTACATTTTCCAATATTAGTACTGTATTAATCAAGGGGTGCTAATCAGAAAATAAAAAGACACATCCTATTTAATAGAAACACGTCGCGTGTGGCGGCAGCACTGTCGCAGACCTGGGGTAATTTGTGCAACTAACTAACGCAGTTTTACGGTAAACTCCTGTTTATTTGTTTGTTGTTTAACGTCGCACTCAGCAACATTCCAGATATATGGCGGCGGTCTGTATATAATCCAGTGGTCAACAGCATGAGCATCGATCTACGCCACTGGGATACGTTGACATGTGTCAACCAAGTCAGCGAGCCTGAACACCCGATCCCGTCAGTCGCCTCTTACGACTAGCATTAGACTAGCATTCAGTCCCTGAATATATATAATTCTGATGGTAACAAATAAACCCATTTATATTGAAAAGGAGCCCTATTGAGTTGGGAGATACCTGGGGAATCTAGACATGCTTCATTTAGGGCTTTAGCATTTCAGGGAGGGCTAGACAGTTAGGAAATTAATGTGGTTCAGGGACTGTGAGACAGACTAGACAAGCATGAGAAAACCAATTTTAAGCCGGAGGTATTTAACGTAAGAATGAAGTCTAAGTATCTTCGTCATGCTATAGTTGAATTTTAAAGATATGTCAATACATATGATTTTCTTTACCTATGTGCAAATATATCTTGAAATTAGCGTAGGTTCTCTAACACAAATTTCATTCACTTAAAACAATGTGAAATATACGCGTAGTTTGTATTAATAAACATCTACGATGATAAGTATTAATAAACATCTGCGATGATACGTTTAATGTCTTCATGCGGAAGACTGCACTTATGTGATTTTCTCAGCATGAACTACACAGATACACATTGAAACTTTCAAAGTTCACTTCCGCATTCAGATCTCCAGTGGGGCTTTGATAATTTTGCTTCGATGTACACGTACGTTGCGATTCAAAGACAGGCAGACATATGTCTTTACTGGCACAAGCCACGAATGGCCCCAAAGCATAGCTTGATATGTATCCCTACAGTAAGGACGATGATGTACACTTGCCGAAATGTGTTTAATATCACCCTCATACCAGAAAACTAATATTTGTTTACTGCAAACCAATGATTAAAAACAATCATATACAGGTAGATGTTTATAATAATATTTGGGTATATAATGTATCCTTAGGTATAGGTATACGGGACACATCTGATCTTCATCATCATTTTTGTTACATATACTGTATATTCTCAGGTCTAAGCATGTATATGTTCACAGCTACTCCCATGGCGACCTGTTTATATGAATAATATTTGAGATGACATTCTAAATATTAATTAAGCCGTTCAATGATTTTCATTGCTGATCACTATGAAATCAAATAGCACTTTTTCTTATATTCCCTATATATTAACTATCCCACTGTCTCTGCAAATTAGTTACATAACAATCAAACAATCAGATGTTTGTCTAATATTGGTATAACAATCGAATGATAAATCTGTGATAGCCAAATATATCAAAACCAGTCTATACGATTTTTCTCACTTCGCAAAACCACCGTTAAGAATTTTGCACATATTGTAAACTGCTTATTAAATAGAACTTTCTGAGGTATTACCTATACACAAACATTCACTATTTATAGTTTGATAATCAATAGGACCCTACATGTCGCCACGTACACATCAATTCGCAAAAAAAATTAATTCACAAAAAGACCCAAGAAACAAACAAAAAACGACTGCTTAAAAATCATCCTTAATCTGCGGGGGATTCACTTATCACTACCTCGTCACCATCTAGCAACAGTAATCTTTTTTCCTCGATCAGTACTCACTGCTCTAAACGCACTACGGTGTTATAAAACTTCTACATTTACAAATAGAAATGAAAAAAGCAGAAGTGTAATATTTTACCCTGTCTTCGTACAGTTACAAGTGAATGCAAAACTATACTGATTATTGCACTTTGCAGAGTATGAACTTTGTTATACGGGGGGGATTCTCCACATAGGTACATTGTGTGGAGCCCATTTCTGGTATCCCCACCGTGATATTGCTGGAATATTGCTAAAAGCGGCGTAAAACCCAACTCACTCACTGTTATACCGAGAGCGACGTACTGTAAAGAAAATGCCACGTTATGTGGGACGCGGCATGAATGGGGCATTCAAAGTCACTGTTACCAAAGCAATAATACACAGTCAACAGCTGTTCTAGCGTGCGCATGGTATAACTCCATTCTTTATTTACACGTCTTAACAACAGCGGTTCATATACTGTGTGATCGATTGAAAAGCAGTTGTCCTGTAAATATCCCATACCGGTAATATCACCTCTATCCTCCGCGGTTGTATTCTCGGCGCTGATTGGTTAATTTTTCTCAGTTGATTGTAATGACCAATGAAAATAGCCGTTTGTTCTGATCTCCATACGAACTTGCCGGTAGTGCATGCTGCTGTCGCGTGTATGTAGTCTTACCTCGGAGAGGACCAGACGTCTAAGTGGCTCGAAGGCGGGTGCAGAGAGAAGGTACCGGTGTTTGGACGTGAAACTGAAATACCCAGTCATGTTGGAAGCAGGAGAGCACAATTATTCCTACGTGTTCAACTTCGAACGAGAATGGAACGAGCTGACATTTTGGAAGTACATGATAGACCGATGGACCGATAGCTTCACCTACTCGACAATTTATGTGTTTATTATATTCGTCGGCCAGTGGTACATGAGGCAACGCCAACGGTTTGAACTACGACCAATCTTAGCACTGTGGAGCGGCACCCTAGCTATATTCAGTATCGCTGGAGCGGTTCGAACCCTACCCGAATTATTGTCAGCCGTGAAAAACCATGGGCTACAGCATTCCGTGTGTGTACCGACATACTTCAAAGGCGTGACCGCATTTTGGTCATTCATGTTTACCGTATCGAAGGTATACGAACTGGGCGATACCATATTTATCGTTTTACGAAAGCAGCAGTTGATTTTCTTACATTGGTACCATCACATTACCGTCCTTATCTACGTGTGGTACAGTTACACCGATCACACGGCCCCAGGACGGTGGTTCATGGTGATGAATTATATCGTTCATTCCTTGATGTACTCCTACTACGCCCTACGAGCAATGAGATTCTCAATACCCAAGTCTATCAGCATGGTAGTGACGGGTCTACAGTTGGTGCAGATGATTGTAGGGTGCATCATCAATATTTGGATTTACTACATCAAACTGGATGGCCAGTACTGCCAACAGACCTTCGAGAATTTGAGGTACTCATCAATGATGTATTTCAGTTACTTTGTATTATTCGCCAATTTCTTTTACAACGCTTATATAGATAAGCGCAATTTAAGAAAAAAGGCAGTATGAAAAGACACGTGTTTTATGTGGACTTAATATTAACTGTTAAATTTTGAAAAAGTGATGCATCTTATTCCTCAGGACTGCAATAGTTTCTATTCTACATTGCTTTATCTACCCGCGTGGTTTGCATATCATGTCACGAGCCCCTCAGCCGAGATACAAATCTACTGCTGATAATCTTCCGACCTTGGATGACCCAAAGTGATCCTGACCTCCGACCCTGAGGCGACACTCGACCAAACGTACGATGTCCCGAACGAAGACAAGAAGTGGACAGTGGCCAGGGTAAACGGTTTACGAGATGATTTCAGATTTCGTCAGTGAACAGAAACCACTCACATTTGTAAGATTGTATTTTCTGGTGTCATTTCATTTTAACAAACGTGCCAGCAACGTCTTGGCCAGTGTGCTGGCTGTAAATACAAATCGCTTGTGTATGTCCTCGTTAACATGCTTTTGTTAGGATACGTCTTGCTGGCGTTATGAATGTATGTCTATCCCAGATATACTATGTGAATCTGCAGTTGGTTAGATCATGCAGTGAGTATCAAATGTCAGAACAATTGTTAGAGACTTATTTTGTGTTTCACAGGAGTTAACATGGATCGCATTATGTTAAGGCTTACATCTCCACGGCATTTATAAGCTGCGTTATGTAATAGTACGTTTTATGGAATTGACATTTACTTATGAAAGCATTCAATGACCAAGCTATTGTGTATAATTGGCGTTGTTAATGTTAACGTTTTGTTAAGGAGTTCACTCCAAGTGCTAACGAATTGTGTATCTTCTAAAGGGACATAACCCCGGGTATATAATGTACAGAGTTTCACATTTCATAGCGGTTAGTCCCAAATCCCTGACAAGTTATGTATGGAAACAACGCGTCTCCTTTAGAATATATGGGTTCAGATTTCACAAAAATATAATGTTTGTTTTTCATATGTTGAGATCAAAGTAACTGGTATTCTGAAACCTCTAGTATTGTGACCAACAGAAAGCTGTATGGACTGTAACAGTAAATGTGTATTACATTCAGTGGATCTAGTAAAGGCAGTGTAGTTTCCATCATATTAACTCTTGTTACTCTTTAAACGGCTGTTTTGTCATTACATATGAATACTGATGTTATTACCCACAGTATTACTAAGAGATGATTGTGCAGCATTTAAAATGAAGTGTTTCCATAAAAAAGGTTGCATTAGTAGTTAACAGCTCATTTTAACATATACTTTGGGGTTACTTTATAGCCCGTAGTCTGACATAAGTGGTGATTTGGGCAGTGGGAAGAGAATCATGTTGGCTATTACCAAGGTATACTGTCACGGAAGTGATGTTTGTATCCGTTTCAAATAGTTTTGATTGGAAGAATATACGTTGGCATATTTACAACAGATCACGTGACATGTGATTCTATTTTCACAGTTTGTACTTGTGTCACCTGAAATCGTGATAAACTTCCGGGATGTTTCAGGTGTAGCCATGCATGTCCATCATTGTCCCGTAATGTTACATCAGCGCACACGATATCAATACAATTGGTAACAGTTAATAATGGCAGTTGATAGAAATGTATATTTTAACATGGTACTAACTGCTATCCCTTTAGAATACCATGTGTTGGAAACGTAGAATGGAATATGCTACAATTATTGAAATCTGAATGAGTTCACAGCTGAATTATTCCTTTCAGTTCCGTTGTACTATTTGTGCTGTATTAATATTTTGCGCAATCTTTCGGTCAGTATAGATTCTGAAATGTGCAATCCATGACAACCTAGTAAAATACATGTTTAGTTCGTCAAGATAAACAATAGAAATCTGTTTTCCAATGTCATGAATTCCAGTCGAATGATTTACAAAGATGTGCATCAGTCTTTAACAAAACTATTGTAGATGCCAATTCACCAGCTGGATGGTATTTAATCCATGCAATGGTATTGCAATGTTCTGTATGGAAGCGAGCCTCGGCGCTATCGATTTGATATTGACGTAGACTTCGCCCTAGAGTGTGCTGCCAGTCAGTTGCTCTACCATGCAATGTACATCCTTGCTGAGAAGCTGATCCCGATGGAAAATGTGCAATGTATGTGTCTCTCCGATTCTGAATCAGCATGTCAGTGTATATGTAGGTATAATTTATATGTAAATTTGTTCAATGAAAATTAGGCGCCGTGCATAGTAATGTTAAAATGTATGTACTGGTCATATTGTGGATCCATTAATGGTACTCATGTTTATGTCGCATTGAGTGTTAGCGTGTGCATGACATCTTGTTTGTACTCCATAGGTTTAGAGTACAAAATCACCTTTGAACTTGCCTTTAAAATTAGCGATTGGTATTGAAATCCTTATACTGACGTCTCGCTCGTGCGTTCGCTGCAGTTCGCGCAGATGTATCAGCTTGTGGCATGACGTTGACAACCATGTTCATTTCCCCGTCTGTTGCACGTGTATTTCCGAAATCCGCTCCATGTTGTTACAAGCACCTGTCCATCACATTGTTTGTCTAGCAACACTAATCTATATGGCAACCTTACCTGTAATCCAACACATTTGTATGCATCGACAGAATAGGACTAATTTCATACCACTATCTGCGTTACATATGCACATGATATTTACAATAGAAATAATACTTGGTGTGTAAATGTATGCGATTCCTGAAGTAGATTTTGATCCCGCTCACAGCATTAGTCGATAGTCGTTAGTGTTCTGTAGATACCAGGCTAGCTTGACGATAGCATTCTTTATTTATAAATCAACAACGTCTCCCATGCCCAAAACGAATCATTGCATCGCTTGTTGTAGTCCTTGTAAATATTTGAAAGCTCTGGCCGTGTCTGGAGAATGTCAAGTTCGATTGTTAAACCATAATAACCGGTGTCAGTTGTTGAAACTGTATGTTGTATTGAAGATTTTAGGCCTACATTATTAGTGTTTTGTAGTTTTTGTTTTGTTGAGATTCTACTTTTTTAACAGTATGTGTTTTATTATTTGAACAGCGACGAACTATTTATTTAGTTATGGGATGGGATAGAAGGAGAATAGTTGACATGGATCTATAGGGGTTGAATTTGTCGGTTTCTCCCCTTCCCCACTCCACCCCACGCACGCTCGCATGATATACACAAACCTGTTATTGTTGAACATAGAAATATTTCTACTACCGAACGTAAATTGTTCAGCCGATAATCTGAATTTATCTACATTTCATATTATATATGCACCCTAACCCCTATCTTCCATGTTTTAAAAATGAGGAAAACCAGTCACTTTGTAACGTCTGCAACAGCGCAAGGTTGCATATTTTGTATAGTCTTTAGATCGCACCGGATGTTGCGCAAACCACCAGCCTCAATCCACGCACACATTAGACTGAAATGTTCGTTGTTTCCATCGCGATTTTAACTTTCAAATTATATCTGTTGTCGGATAGACCGCACAGGATAGGCGATCAATACTGGATTTGCCCACGCGTTCTGCCGCGTTTCGATCGGTTCCGTGTTGCGAACAGTCTGCCGTCATCTTCATGATGGGGGTATTTTGGGGCAAAAGTGAACGACACTCGCGGCCTACCCGACACCACGTGACTCGTGGACGTCTGTTTATCGCCAGTACGTTAACCCATATATCGCACCAGTGGTTACCCGTATTGTCAATTAGTCAGTAAACCCATCATGACTGAATACGAGGTAATCCATAGTACTTTATACGATTAATGGGTCTCCGTTACTTAGCAGCGATACCTCATTTGACCGTGGCTCCAATTTTACACTGAGAGTAAGTACACGTACACCCTGTTGATGAAAGGACAGGCAAAGACATAAAAATTCCAATACCGTTGGTAATATCACCATATTGTTATATTTTTTTAGCATTGCGGTCTAGGTTAAAGTGGATTTTAATTTCGTGTATGCATGCCTATAGCATGGTACTTGTTGGGGTGCATTTTGACTTTGCGATGCTTGTTACTGGTTACAAACCGACTCTGTTTAGGTGGTGATTAAACTGTTCAGGAAATGATGAACCAGTTATTCCAGTTATCTTCATAAGTCGTTGACATGTTCCTACTTTACCTCTATTATGTCGCACGATCAATGAATGATTCCCAAAGAATCGACATTAGTTAAAACCTCCCCCCCCCCCTCCCGACGAACATAGTCTCCGCTCCGTAACTAGGTAATCAACAGCTGCATCCGTCGATTTTTAAAAATTTAATGTTATCGCCGTCACGAAAAAAAACCTTTCTAAAATTATCTTCACGTCGCAGACGTTTTATGTCGTCTTAGAAACCTTATTTGGCGTATATTGTGGTCTGCGTCGATCAAACTTGAATAACCCTTGTAGTTTTGATATGGCGTTACCATAAACCTTAAACTTTGTATATGGAGGAAGCCCTTTCTTCTTCCATGATACTCGTCATGCAGTTGTCGGAGCTAATGCATCTCTGGTTATAAAAACAGTAATAAATGACCTCAAAGTAGGCAAGTTAATTATCCCTATTGATGCACCGTTAAGTCATCAAAGTATGGACCCTTCTGTCGAGCTGTTTTCTCGCGGGCAGAACCTTTAAGCGGACATACCCAAGATCAATTCTCCATTTAGTTCGATCCGCCAGTCTATATACACCTGTGCAATCGCCCTTAGAGATGGGTTTTCGAAGTGCATTCATGGTCAGACGCGCCGCAGAAACGTTATCGATCGTACAAATTTGGTCCAGCGGTTAGATTGTAGCGTCACTCGATTCCTCTCCGTTAACGTAGATGCAGCTGAAGTAAATCGGCTTCATTGAGCGCAGCTACTAGTTAGTGCTATTCAACCTGCCCTTTCATGTGCTGCATCTAACCCCCGCCTGAAGTGATAATGATGGACAAAGCGATGACCTGACCGCATTGAAAATGTGTGGCAATAGGTCTTGTGGACAAACTGTATGTAACTCACTACCGGCTGATGTAACTCAATCTTCACGACGAACTGGGTCATGACGTCGTTGGGCTCCGTGTTTAACACAGACCGCCGATACATACTGTGAGGTTTTGTATTTCAAGCCTCTTCGTTGGGAGGATATGTATTTGCAATCACTTGAATATCCTAAAAAAACATAAGTCCGAATAATATTGAATAGCATTCGCTGTTGTGCTATATATTTAAATAAAGAAAGTAAGGACCACCAGGTTTGGAAATAGTCTTAATGGAACTACCTTTCGATTAAATGTTGCTGTTTATTTAAAGAAATTATGTTACCAACGACAGTCGAAGATGCAGGATAATGTAGCGTATTTCGAGTTTCGGACATCGTGGATGTGTTGACTGTATCTAAGGGATCATTTGCCTTCTGCTCATGTTACCGCCTGGTTCAGTGCCCAAACGCGCATTTGGAAACTGACCCCGGTTTGTTGTTGAACACAGTGTTTCGCTAGGATGGTTCATGTTACGACTGGTGAGGCGGAACGCTTATGATACTTGTTCTGGGAACAGCTTGAAGTCAATCTGTCAATCTGTCGTTAAACTAGCTCCTGCAATCCACAAAAGTATTCTATAGCGAAACGGTCACACTTGAGAGACAGATAGCAATGCACTATTTTAAATGTTTCTAAGATATCGTGCACGCCCTGTTTACCTCTCAACTTCGTTGTCTGTTCCATGAAAACCACCGTGATCCAGTCACTCGACATGTGTGCAGGCGCTGAATTTGAATATTATTTTTTGGCTCCGAACTAAACGTGTGCTCTCACGAAATACCCCAGCACACGTTTATATTGAGGGTCCCAGCCGGTCCTTGTACTACTGTCTCGATATATGTGGCAGGACAGGTTAAGACGGGTGGCCTTTTTCACTGCAAGGCATGGCTTTTTATCTCCTTTACGGTTGAGTAACTCCATAGAGGGGTGACCTACCCGTCTGCTGAAAACCTTTTGCCAGCTCATCATATTACTGGGGCGGTGGGGTAGCCCACTGATTAAAGCGTTCGCTCGTCACGCCGAAGACCCGGGTTCGATTCCCCACATGGGTACATTATGTGAAGCCCATTTCTGGTGTGCCCCGCTGTGATATTGCTAGAATAATGTTAGAGCGGCGTAAAACCCAACTCACTCACTCACTCATCAGTTTACTTCGTCTCGAAATGCCCTCTACTTAGGTTACAGAAAGATTTGTTTTCTCAACCAGTCTTCTAGGAAAGGAAGATAATATCCCTTAGCGTTTTACTGTCCAGTTTTTCAACAAAGGTGCCATGAAGGAATTACTAAATTGATATCACTGAAGTGTTTTACAGACAAATTATCAATTATTAACGTCTCTTAGTTTTAAAAAATTGTATTTTTGTCGTCCAGGTTATTGACATGTTATGTCACTTAATAACATTTGTGTTATCTGTTACTGTGTTTGAGATAGAAGCACGATAAACAATCACCATTGTTTGCTCATTTGAAGTCAGAACTTGGATCGATGTCTTTTGGGTCTATACAATTTACCTTATGATTTGTTTTGTTAATGATATATATGTTTTACTTAACGTCCACAAACAATACTGTTTTGTGGAACTTCACTGATATTCCCTATTCTCAATTATGATGTATATTTTAGCATAGATCACCTGCTATTATGATAGATTTAAAACAGCCACGCTTCTCGATGTCCAATTTCGTTACATGTACACACACGTCTTAGCTGTCTGGTGTGTAGCGCAGGTTGTACTTCAGTTTCATCAAAATGTCTTTTGTTTTGTGATAATGACCCGAAATATAGTCCGCCCGTCTCAAAACCAGCCGAACTGCGAAAATATGAGTTATCCGATATTTGATATTGTCAACTCAGGGGGGGGCGGTGGGGTAGCCTAGTGGTTAAAGCGTTGGCTCGTCACGCCGAAGACCCGGGTCCGATTCCCCACATGGGCACAATGTGTTAAGCCCATTTCTGGTGTCCCCCGCCGTGATATTGCTGGAATATTGCTAAAAGCGGCGTAAAACTAAACTCAGTCAGTCAGTCAGTCAGTCAGTCAGTCAACTCAGAAAAATCGCCCACGATGGTAAATAAGATACTTTTGTTTAAAGGTTTCAACGTGTAAACAAATCCTGCCTTTGATTGTTGTCGACGCGGTTTCGTCAAAGGCCAGGGATGCACGGGAGCTTGCACGGGCGGATTATATTATCGGGAACTAATTCGTATACGTTGTTGTGATTATGGCCTGCCAAAGGTGGTCAATGGTAGATATTGTGAGCTACATTGTCCGCCATTCTAGCGCCGTCTCAGACCGCGTTGCAGTGTATCAGATGTATCAGGTGCTATGCGTTGTATATGTATATTTATTGTGTGCAAATCAGCGGGTTATTTCAACTACAATTTGCGTCTGTTTTGGGACCAAAGTAATACTTGTAGCCGCTTTCCATTTGACGATTGTATTTCTTGTATAGTTGTCATATTTTTGAACAATATTCCACGTACTTCCAAAATCAGGGAAGTGAAATGTCAGATTTCACGGTGTCAGATTTCACGGTGTCAACCTGCCTGAACTTGCTGCAATGTATACGTGATGGCTATTTATAGATTAACCAACAACACCTCGTATGTTTTGTAATAATGAGTGCGGTGATCAGCATCTGTGACTTTGTGTATGACAATGTATCATGTGTACTCTAGAACCTCGCTGATCCGAACTAATCGGACTAGATCACATCTTCTAAACTTAAAATAACTGATGGATAATGAAAACTAGCTATTCATCGTGTAGTATAACATGTCCAGCTTGTTGAGGTTCAGATTTGCGAGGTTCATTGGTTTATCTGTAATGCGTTTGCGTGCAAGGTGCATCTGTTATTTTCATAATCCTCTTCCTCAAAGCGATGTCGCGCTATATCGAGGAAGAGGATGAATTATACTTTTCAAATGAATGCTTAATATCCACGACCTCTTTGTTCTTTTCATTGCTTTATTTTGATTACAGAGTTATTTTCACGATGTTTATATACCATGATCTGCTGCCGGTGCGAGCTGTTGAAGTGTATGTACGGAATATTTGTGCATAGAAACTCTCTGTTTCCTTTATACATGGTAGCACGAAGTCTCCGCGTATACTAAGAATATGTTTCATTTGCAGTGTGTATTAAGTTCTCATGTTCGAAAGTCCCTGGCCTTGTGGTAATGAAGTGAGAATAAATTATTGCTTTTCTATTAATGTGTTGTTTTGTTGTTTGTAAAGATATAAATTATGATGAACGTGTTGTACGTGGACATGAAGTACGAAGGCTCTATGGATATTGATAACGGTGATTGTGTCGATGCAGCACTTCCGTAATTTGTCGGAATATAGCGAAGGGAACCAAGTCGTTCCGTGATGTATGTTATATTATTATGTATAGTTAAACAGTCTTCATGCATTCAGTTTTCATGGGGGGCGACAGGGTAGCCTAGTGGTTAAAGCGTTCGCTCGTCACGCCGAAGACCCGGGTTTGATTGCCTACATGGGTACAATGTATAAGGGCCATTTCTGGTGTGCCATTCTGGAGAATTATGAGGGTCCTTGAAATCGGTACGGATGCATTCACAATCATCAGTACGCGTTATAGCGGCAATGGCTACATGTTCTAACGCGCATGTATATTAAGAATACAGAATATTGACTATCAGAAAACCCAAAGCTTAATAACCTTTCTATCATGTAATGTCATTATAAAAATTCTGTGCAGGAATATATATTACCTCAGACAGTTACAACAGCCAAAGTAGTTCCAACTAAAGCCAGTTTCATAGACAGTAATGTAACAAGTAATAGACAAAATAACAAAAACCTGCACTCATTTTTATTTGGCATAGCGGCAATCCATCGGTCCCACCGCTAGAGTGACTTCCCTTTCTCAAAGGGAAGCTACTCTAATCATTGGCTATGATGAGTCACTTAAGTTTCTGTGTATGTTTCTGAGTCTGCGTGGCCTGTCACAGGTAGTCATAACGTTACTACGTGCAGAATTGATGTCAGAATCCTGGATCTGGACCATATTTACACACATATATTGAATTTGACCCCTAAAGGATACCGTTTCTCTCTGCTGGCTTTACTCTTTCGAGTAACTTATCTGTAGATGGTATGTATCGTAACACGTATAAATAGCTCGCATTATACCGCAATACTATGTACGCAATATTGTAGAAAGCAAATTATAATAATTAAATTGCCACTGACTAACATCCTCTCTCTCTCCCTCTCCCCCTCTCTCTACATGTCATCAGGTTCGGTACAACCCCCGAATGGTGTGGTGAGTGATAAGTTTATTTGAGATAAAATTATGGCATAAAATGACATAATTGGTATCTTTTGGGACCATAATGTGTGTAAGTTCTGCAAGGGGTCCTCTGTTTCGAGGGGGTAGCGCCCGAAATGCGGCATCATTTGGGAACTTGCGTGTAACCATAGCCTAGTTGGAGGTTTCGTTGACATTTATAACAACTCACCATAATGCTCCGATGTGAATTGCCGCTTGGGTGGAGAAAAACATGGTTTTTCTGCGCTTTGAGGGCGATTATATTATCCCGATCGGGGTTTTAGTTCCCGAACGGGCTCAAGTACCCGTTCGGGGGTTGTACCGAACCTGGTCATCGGTTCCCTATTGCCCAGATCGATGCTCATGCTGTTGACAACTGGATTGTCTGACTCGATTATTTACAGACCGCCGCCATATAGCTGGAATATTGCTGACTGGTGCGTCAACCTAAACTCGCTCACTCTCCCCCACCCCCTCCACGTAGATCATGTACAGTACAACCAGATATTATTGAGAATTTAAAGATTGTAATTTAAAAAAGAAAATTCTCTCATTACTCACGTATTAAATGTGAATATTAGCAGAACATAACTCCAGATTCAAAGACTGTTAGTGAACAGTTAGTATTTTGTCAAGTCACCATGGGCAGCAATGCAGGCTTCAATGCAGCGGGGCATACTACTGATCAAAGAAGTTAGTAAGTCGTGGTCCATGCTGTACCAATAATATCGGACCACCTCTTCTTTCATTTCAGCAATATTTGTCAGATTTTTCTTATTGACACTTTCCTTCATAAGTCCCCAAACATTTTCTATTGGATTTAGGTCAGGGCTACAGCTTGGCCAATCTAATAATGTCATATTTTGGGTCCGAAACCAGGCCTGTGAATGCTTTGAACGATGTTTTGGGTCGTTGTCCTGCTGGAAAATCCAAAAATTTCATAGAACACGTGAGCAGATGGAAGTAAATGTCCCTCGAGAATATCTGTGTACCGCTCACTGTTCATATTCCCTTCAAATACACAGAGGGGCGTTGCCCCTAACACAGATATGCCACCCCACACGTTAAATTTCGGACTGTACTTTGGGCGCTGATGCAAAGGTTTTTCAGTTTGTTTGGTCCAGATTTGCAGTGTATTAGGAAACAGCCACACATAACTTTCATCTGAGAAAATCACATTGTTTCAGTTAAAATTTCTATGCTGTAAGCACCAGTTCAACCTTCGCTCCTTTTGTTCAGGTTTCATGATCGGTGATGGAATTCCTCGACCTTTCTGCCAACCCATTGCATGCAGCTCAGTTCTAATTGTCTCCTTACAGACAGCCACAGTTCCTCTATCAATCATATCCAGCCTTAAGTTTTCTAAACACCTTTGTTTGTTTTTAGAAACAAGAATACCAAGCCGCCTCCTGTCACCGACAGTCAATTTTCTGGGCCTACCTGCGCCTCCCTGGTGCTCAATGCCATATCCATTTGCAATACTTTTCAAAACACGATAAGCAGTGGACAAGGGGATGCTTGTTCTACTTGAAATCCCTTTAGCTGATCTGATGTCCTTTTTATAATACTCAAAAATCAACTTCCTCTTCTCTAAATCATCCATACTGAGGATCACTGAAAATGTCGTCTGCTAGCAGTAAACAGACTATTGAAAAAGGATTAACGGAGTTGTCTCTCTTGAATGAAACCAAGCACTTGATAGCTGGTCAAGGTTGTTTATACTAGAAATCCAATTAAACATATTCCTAAAATTCTCAATTATTTCTGGTCATACTATACAGCAAGTAAATCATAGAACATATAATAATTACTAATATAGTATTTTTACTAATATTTTCAATTTACTTTTGGAATTTTAATTGCTGCACATCATTTAATAAATGTATTTGACTAATACACACACAACTAATATGTATTTGTCAAAAATCAATTTGAGTACAAAAATAATGTTTAGCCAAATGTTTACGAAACAATGTTTCGAAAACAAACCTTTCTGGAAACTACAAATTCACTGGAATCATAGGTTTCTGTAACATAGCGCTAAATGTTTGGGAATGTTTTTATCGCATCTCCGTGTTAGCTGTGAATTTACTTATACTCTAACACGGGGATTTGTGATTTAGGTCAGTACAACACATTAGCCATTAGTGAGGATTATAACCATGACGGTACACACGACTGACTCTGACAACATATGCGCGGTGGACCACCTGTTGCCTTGCAGTAATTCTGACGGTTGCAAACTAAAAGCATGTGAAATATATGAACCATTCAATGCTAACAAAATACACACGACTTAACAAAGATATGTAGGTCGGATCAGTTTGCCGTCCAGGACCTGTGTTTATTTAAGATATCCAGCAGTGATTGACGTATTAATAGGATGATGCGTTTTGGCGATCTGACCGCGTGTTGAATGGCGTGTGTTGGAAACGTTCACCGAATGCATTATGTATGTGCTGATATCTCCATTATTTAGAGTGGCCATATTCCTTAATCCTTCAGACGAACTAGAAAGTATTGCAGGGTTGGAGGTTGCTGTTTGGAAACTTCACATGTATGTTTAGGTGAAAGAGGACAACTTCAAAATGTAAAGGACTGCAAATATATTTTAGGAATGGGAGGAGCTTGTGAGACACAGGTATGTAGGGGAGGGGCGGCCATGAAAGAATGACCCTGTAAATTATCTGGGGGAAGAGAGGAGGCATATCAGATTTATATCTTAAAATGGTCGGTCCCAAAGTACAATGTGCTCTTTCTTTTAAATGAAATGCATTTATCTACTGCCGGAGAGACCGGACCAACATAAACAGTATGGACGTAGTAATTGCTAAAGCAAGGTATAGCCGCAGCTGGATGGGGAACCGGTTTGCATGGATGTTGTTGTTGGTGTCGTTGTTCTGGAACTGTTTTGTATTGTTGTTGATAATGTTGCCGGCCATACTGCCAGTGAGAATCGGCAATGTATAACAACACGACTTTCCTCTTTCTGTATAACAAAACGACATTCCTCTTTCTGTCTGTGACAGTGAGTGTGACTACGGCCTATACACATGTACGCCCCAGGAGGTCCTATCATCTCACCGTCTGATCTGTGATGCGTACCAGCTGAGTTTGCTATCCAAACCCGGAAGCTGACACAGTCACGGTTGTTGGTAAACATTAAATAATGTATGTTGTTATTTGTAATGGGACTTTACCTTCATTTACGAACAAGAACGAGTTCAATCCCACAACTTGTAAACAATAAAGGGGGATGTCATAATTAATCATATAATCTGGTGGCGGAGGGGTGGTCATTGTGTTTTATGGATTTGTAAACTGAATGAACTGATTTCATTACACGTGTATGTATATTCAACTATCACCCTTTCCTACTTCGGACGGAGGGGTAGCCTAGTGGTTAAAGCGTTCGCTCCTCACGTCGAAGGCCCGGGTTCGATTCCCCACATGCGTACACTGTGTGAAGCCCATTTCTGGTGTCCCCCCGCTGTGATATTGCTGGAATATTGCTAAAAACGGCGTAAAACCACACTCAGTTAGTCCCACTTGATGTTGTGATCGATCATAGTCCGTGACGTTGTATGGATGAAATGTGTTAGAAGCAACCTAAAACCGAACTCACTCACGCTAGTAGGAAATTATCGGACACAGCTGGTGGGAATTCTTATCGCCAACATCATCACAGGTTGCAGGGATAATATATTGGAGCTAAGCATATTTCCCGGGTTTTATTATCAAAATGGACACAGTGGTACCTGTCCTTGGTTGTCCCCCGTGGCTGAATTGTTGCTAATTGCGGTGGAATACTGTACTCACCCATGAAGGTGAACACCCTTCCATTCACACTACCATTTTCACCTGCTCACTCAGAGTCACCCAACCTGCAATCACTCTCCTTACTATTGGCATAAGAAACTTCATGACAGGTCCCTTAATGTTCAATTATATAATGTAGTTATTTGAAACAATAGAACTGTGCCTTTCTTTCCTTCCTCCAACCTAACAGTTATGATGCAATTTGTCTCCCCTCTCCTCCGCTGTCATTTATTATTGCCCGTACAGACACGTGAAGATCCGCGTTAGAATTGATCTTCAGTAACCCATGCGTGTGGTGAGAGGCGACTTACGGGATCGGGTGGTCAGGCTCGCTGACTTGGTTGACACGTCAATGTATCCCAATTGCGTAGATCGATGCTCGTGCTGTTGATCACTGGATTGTCTGGTCCAGACTCGATTATTTACAGACCGCCGCCATATAGCTGGAATATTGCTGAGTGCGGCGTTAAACAACAGACCAACCGAAATCTGTCCATCACATAATAATATAATATATTTACCATGCAGATGGAATGCTAAGACAAGGAATGACAAATGGGAACTGAAACGTTCCGCGTCGCTCACCTTACTCACTTAATCACTCGTGTCAAGGACAGTTTAATAAAGAGTTAAAAACGTTTTCATACTATGAATCCCATTCCAGCAATAGCACGACGTGGACACCAGAACGAGGCTTCACACGGTGCACCCACATGTCCTGGAATACATGTACAAAACATTAATTCCAACAAATGGCGGTGGAACAATACTTTCAACGATGCCGGCCCAGTCTGATGCGACATAACTTAATTGCATGTGTAGATTCTGTCCAGTAGGTCAGGCGTGAAGAGAATGGCCTACCCACAAAGGTACCTCACAACCCTAAATATATATTAATCAGCTGAAAAGTACCGTTAATATAACTGTTATTGGAATTTGATACGATCGATAAATTTGTCATACATTTTATCACAGTGATTGAGCAGCAGTGAATGTCTTTTAATCCCGTTGTTATAAAATGCTTCATCTATACATCTCTCACGCCAGTGACGTCACGGGGAAGAATCTAGGTTACCAAGTCGATACACAAGAACTAAAAGCAATCTTCAAACTAATCACGAGATACACAGTACCATCTGCTGCCTTGCAGGGAATCGCGGACGAAGATGATGTACGATCCCGTAAAATGAACGGAGGTCTTGCCAAAGCGGTATCATCAACTGCAAAAGAAGCTATATAAATTAACACCCTTGATTGCCAGTGGCTGTAAGTGAAACCCCTTGATTACCAGTGGCTGTAAGTGAAACACACCAGATTGTCATCCGATGGTGACGTATTTAATCGGAGTTGTGTTTTGGGTCTTTGGACTCATCGCATTGTTTCGGCGACTGTTACAGCCTAGTAACATTTGGAGAATATGAGGAATGTTTGCTCAACATGTTTTTTTTACGAGTTTTTACTTTTAAAACGTTTTTTGCCCGACAGTTTAGTATACAGTGAGTGAGAATTAATTCGCTGGAATTAATAATGTTTTGTACATGTATTCCAGGACATGTGGGTGCACCGTGTGGAGCCTCGTTCTGGTGTCCACGTAGTGCTATTACTTGAATGGGATTCACAGTATGAAAACGTTTTTAACTCTTCATTAAACTGTCTTTGACACGTGTGATTAAGTGAGTAAGGTGAGCGAAACTGAACATTTCAGTTCCCATTTGTCATTCCTTGTCTTAGCATTTTGCAGACTAATGATCACGGGACCATGGTAGATGTGAAACATTTGCATGGTATATATTGTTATGTAATGGCTTTGTACAGATTTTGGTTGGTTGGTTTGTTGTTTAACGCGACACTCAGCAATAGTCCACCTATATGGCGGAGGTCTGTAAATGATCGAGTCTGGACAGACAACCCAGTAATCAACAGCATGAGCATCGATCTCAGCAATACAGGTTAGGTGAGTTGGAACTAAACTTTGTGTGCCAGGGCGCGTGTGTGTATGATTCTACTAATGCCGGTTTGCCAGTGCCGCTGTTTGGTCTTTCAAATCGTGACACCAACATTTCTTCTTAATCACCGCAAGTAGCTTGACAGTGGTTTGTGTCATGAGCAGTGTCGAAGTACAACGACACGCTATATGAGTGGTGGCTGAGTGGGTTAGATCGCCGACTTTGTTTTGCTGATGTGCCTCACTCTGAGAGTGTGGATTCAAATCCCGCTTGGGACTCTACCGCAAAAATACTAGAATCTGAACTTCAGCTATGAAGCGTAATTAAAAAAACCTAATCTGCATTCTACCATGACGACGTGAAATACTCGAATTGATTGGAAAATCGATCCAATTAGACACTATCAATTTGAATTGAAAATGTGTCTGTTTTCACGACCGCTTCACAGCGCACGTATTCAAAACTGCCGCACTACTTCAGCTTGACCACCAACATGGTTGACATCAGCACAATAGACGTGATGGAAATGTTAATAATAAAACATTTATTAAAACTCGAAAAAAATAATTATATGATTTTTTCCTCCACAATTATTAGTGAACCTCACTATCATATTACCTTCAATTATGAGAATATTCAAAC